AGGCTCAAGTAAGGTCTTATGCCAAATGTGCTTACAAGAAAAGGGGCATGAAGAGATAATGTAGTGAATTATGGAAATGAAAAGCCAACTGCATTTACAGTAAGATAAAAATCACAGGACTTCCTCTATAAACGTGAAGAAACATCCTAAAGTAGTTGCATAGCAATAAAGATGTAGTCACTAACACAGTCCCTCCGTAGGCCTATAGTCAGTGTGTTTCTGGCCTGCAAAGTGTAGGATTATTTATCAGTGTGGATTTAAGGTTAACAACTTCTAATATTGTGAGTGGAGATTGTTTTATATTGTTGAAATTAGGAGTTGTGTCACCTTTCCTGGGTAGTGTGCTATACAAACAGCTGGACAATATAAATGCCATAGTTACAGTAAAGGGTATTAACATGCTAAAATCGCATTGCAACTGAAAACAGCTTGTGTTAAAATTACTATAAAATGATTCTGGCTAGTTTGTTTGCCAGGATTGGGCAAGATGTTGACAAACTTTGTTGTAGTTTAGATAAGAGATGCAGAGTATACTGCACCCTTTCTTCTTGGTGCCGCTCCACTCGGAGGCTGCAAACCCGTACTGAAATTCATGAGAATCTTTACCTTGAGGAACATTCTTGATTCCAGACGCTCTCTGTTCTCAAGCGTGGTATAGGCAGTTAAAGAGTGACAAAAGCACCATCGGTGATTTCAAGGCTTCCAAAAAAAGCTCTTGTCTAGGTTGTTACAATAGTTTATTATCTGTGGCCCTTAAACGTTGCTGTTTTCCATTTGGAAAAAAAAATACAGTTAAAAACTTTGGGGAAGGAGACCTTAACTGCCTTTTCCAAAGCTAAAGCCTATGACTGAAGGGCCTAGGATCTCCTGGTTATGCAGCCATACCTCCCCCTTTGTAATTATATGTCATCTGCCCCAAGATGATAATCGTCAGATAGTAATGACTTCTGATCATTGTTTATTGCCCTCTGTGAAACTGGTTGGTGGTCTTCTCAGTTACTAACTTTTTGTTATTTATTATTATTACAAATCCCTTTGCTTAACTTTATTATTTTACAAAGCGTTTGCAAATATGGATGATGGGATTCATGAGTTGTTCATCCCTTTGCCTCTTAAACACTTTAGAGCAAAGAGAGGTTTCTAATCAAATCTTAATTGTTTGCGAGATTGATTCTTAGTTACTGCTGAGCATAGAAATATCGGCAGCAATTGAAATAGAGAAGAGGAAGAGTTTAGGCTATTGGGGGTATTCCTCCAAGAGGTGTGGGCTCGTTTACTTTTGATGATAAACAGTATGTTTGATGGCAGATATTAAAGATAGAGAGCCTATAGGCAAATGATGCTGTCTTGTGTATTCACTAGGAAATTAATCTAGAGACAGGAGTACCATGAAAGAGAGCCTGTGAAGCCTGAACGTGTCTCTGTTGCATGCTTAGGAGCACACAACTGACCTGTCAAAAAGGTTTTGTAGGCTGTGCTTGAAGCAGAGCTGGCCTAGTACTAGGGTTTGGTTGGGGCCTCAAGAACTGCTTAATATGGCTTTGTTTTTCCACTCTCTCTCTGTCTATATTTATAATCTGAGCCCAGCAACAGAACTCTTAAGGTTTCAAAAATAAAATGAGGGTGTCAGTTAATTTTTAGGTGTCTGGTTAGCAGCCTTTTCAAGCATTTGTCACATTATATGGCTATAGTTTGAACGCTAGATGCACTGCAAAGGTTTTAGGAACGTTACATCATTTATTACTCTGTGTAACCTTATTTACTCCGTTTGTTTCATTTTTCTCATGTGTAAGTGAAGAAAATATTTACTTTGTTCAAAAGGGGTTTCTGAGGCTGTACTTAATTCATATATGTAACTAGGTTTGGTGTTTGGAAGGTGCCATACAGTCATTACTTATTAATAGAAGGACCTGCAGAAGTAATGCATTATTTATATTATGTTATCTGTGGAAGACTTGCAACTATTTTTTGTGTTTGGATTAGAAATGTTGAAAAGTATGGTCAGCTGACTTCATTTATTTCCACAATACTACTAAACATACAATGTAAGATCACTTTTAAAGTGGCATTATATCATTAGTTACCTTCCTTAAACTGATGTATAAAAGAACGTGAAGTTAGCAGTGATGTGTCTTTGATTTTCTGTGTGATGGCTGGATAGGACATCTTGAATAGGGCAATATTTGGCATAATGCAATTAATCAGGATGGGTATGAGGAACCAAGTTGCTCCCAAATTGAATATTCCCATGTGCAGGATTATATACTCAAGCTTAGAAGAGTTTCTAGTGTTTCTCCCTGATAATTCATTCAACCACTGGGATTTCTTTCACTGTGGAACAGGCTTATGCTTTGGCCCTCTAAACTCTTGGACAAACCCTCGGGCAGTCTGTCGAAGCCAAGGTCGTTCTCCAAGAGGTTCAGTGCTGCTCTATTGCTTGTCGGTCCCCGTGGTTCTTTCAAGGAGTCATGTTCCTGCAGTGTCTTTGCTGCAGCCACCTCAGCTCCCCTAAAGAGGGTTTCAGATGGTGGAGGAAAAAAAAAAAATTAGTGTATTGCAAATTATTGCTGACAATGTCAGCATTAATTTATGCCAGAAATATGTGTAGTATGGGGGGTGGAAAGAGAGATGATGCAGAAAGCAGTATTTCCTGCATCCCCTTCTCTGTAGGGTACCTGAAGAAGGGCTGCCACAGCAGCTGTGGATAATAGCACAGAGCCAGGACTTTTACCCCCTCTCTGAATCTGCTACTTAGTGGCCTCCGGTGAAAATAGGAGCATTCGGACAAACAGAAATCCATTGCTTGCAAAGCTGGGTTAGTTCAACGCAGTTGCCATTCAGGTGTATTTAATAAAGGGTTTAGTCATGCAACCCCTATTAAAGTTAACAAAATTGTGTTGCTGAAGGTCCCAGGTGTGTCAAGTGAGGGTTTGTGAACAATTATAAATAACACTGCTGACATTTTTGAATAACATTACTAATGCTATACAAATCTCCAAGAAAATGGCATAATCTGGAAAGTTGAATGCAAATCTAGGCTGTAAATATTCTGAGGGAATGCTTACTCTGGTACAGCATAGGCTTGATCATGAACAGGTGTAAGGTATCTGTGTGGATTCATCTCCACCCCTAAAAGTCTCCAGCCCTGTTTTTGTCAGTTATTTACTTTGTTTTTTACTTCTGGATCTAAAAAACAAACAAAAAAGCCTCTTATGAAAATGAAGTATTTCAGTTGTATTGTGAGATACAACTAGCTGAAGTTGGATGGAGTGTATTTTGTCTTAGTAGAAAAGAAGTTGCCCCTTCTGTGTATATGTGTATTTTAACCTCAGAATCACATGTGCATGTTAGTGAACCTCAGATTCTCATATGTATATTTTTTTAAGTCTTTAGTTTTTTTTTTTTTTTTCCTCTGGAGAAGGTAATTGCAGCTGTAAAATGGGCATACTGTTATTTGAAGCAGTTCTAATGTGAGGTCATTAAGACTATATGTTGCCTGCTTAAAAGATATAGGCTGCAAATTTACTGTGTGTTGTGTTTTTTTCTAGCTAGCTGTTTATTAAAAAAAAAGACTATTTTGAAGTTAGCAGGATAAAATATAATGTGATAAAATGATGAGTCAGATTGTCAAAAGCAAAAAATCCTAACAGGGATACATGCTAGAATAATGCTTTTTTTTTTTTTTATTTTTTGCTACACCTGACTCAGGATTTTGATTATGTATTCTGCTAAGTTCAAAGTTTCCTTACACAAAGAGAGAGCAATATGAAACAACCATGCTTCAAACCGTTTTACTTCAATTGTAGTAGCAGGTTTTAGAGTTTAAATCATTAACAACCTCTGTGTGAACTTTTATCCAAATGACTGCAAGTCACAAAGAGAACACTTCTCTTTCACGAAGTACCTTTTGTGCTTTAGTGAGACCCAATCCCTTTTCCATTTTTCCCCCACCTTCATGTCTGTCTTTGAAGAAAGATGTGTGATTTGTGAAGTAATGAAAGTATGTATCAGTTAATGAAAAACTGCTATACTGGGTTTATAATGCACACTGAAATTGCTTCAGGATAAAGCTTCATATACCTGCATTACAGCAGGAAAAAAGTAAATTTCAGAAGTCCGGATTGCTGTGTGCACTGTACGAGTATCATGTAGCAGTTAAATCAACCATTAGGGGTGACCTAATCTTGATTTCCCCCCCCTCAGCAAGGAGTTGTGATTTTCATGCTGCCTGCATTTTTTCCACTTTTTTAAAACTGCACTAGAAATTTTCAGAACCTGATACCGAAATAGTGTTTCCACATAGTAACTTACCCAGCTTCCTTTCTTGCTTATTTTATATACTTAAATTGGCATGGAGAGAGTTGTATATAATCGCCTTCCCCCCAAAACTGAAGTTCAATTAAAATAAGCCTCTTTAGAGGTGATCTTCACAAAGCATAGGGGATAAACAAACCCAAGAAATCCTATGGAGTTTTCTTTGCAATTTGGTATTTTTATTTTTTAATAGAGGAAGGCAAAAGTCCTAATTTATAAAAGAGTTATTATTTTTCTTTCCTGTCAGAAATGAGAGGGAATTACAGTGTGAATGGTCAAGAAACACAAATGCTCCTTCCCCCCCCCC